ATTTCTTTCAGTAGTTCTCTTTTGAGTGGTGGTCTGTCTCATGACCTGTTTTTGTTTGTTTTTGTTTTTAAGAAATATGCCCTTTCTTCTGTGCATTCACATTGCTAGAGACTCAGTTTGATTTTCTAGCTGCCTGCTCATTGTCCAAGTTTATGCACCATATCACAGGGTGGAGAAAACATAACATAGGGCTATTCTCATTTTTAATACGAACAAAATACCCAACAATACATACACATGCGTCTCATCAGACGCCACTCTAGGGACACCCTGTATCCGACAATAAAGTGTTCACTACAACTGACATTTCCCCATGGATGCATTGGTAAGATATATACTCTAGAAGCAGGCGGTCGAGCCCACTTCCCTGTTTATTGATTTGTAGGCTGTCTGGTTGTTGCCATCCTTCCATCCATGGAATTAGGATGAACAAATGTACAGGGAGGGAAGGTCGGTGTAGATCTATAAAATACACTGAGATAAGGTAGCATTCTTGGGAGAAGTCTTCTTGTTCTTCTTCTTCTTCTTTCTCTGCCTGAAATAAGTTGTCTATATCAGCAGTTTTGTCTCTTGTATAAATTTCACTGTCGTTGTTAGTTCATTCAGTGGTCCATAAAGTTTACGTTCCACTGTTGTTCTTTCTGGCCAAAAGGTTTGCCTTAATGTTTCAAATTCGGTGCAGTCCTGGAGTACATGCTCTGCTGTCTGGGGCACTTTTCCACCGGTGAACATGACTTATATGCCTATCTTGAATTTTGTGTACATGTGGTTACGTAATTGGTTGTACCCTGTTCTGAGGCGGAGGATAATGACTTGTTCTGGTCTGTCCATAATAAAATAGTCGTCTTGTGCTGGGGCTGGTGGTTTCCTGATCGATTTAATGATTCTTTTCTTTTGGTGGTATGTGACTGGCACATCCGGCTGCTCTTTTGTCGCATCTTCCTCTTCCAGTTGATCGGCTTTCTCATTTCCAGGCACGCCACAATGAGACGGTATCCACTGCATTACGACTCTTCGCTGAAGGCTGAGTTGTGTCAGCAGTGTTTGCAATTCTGGTAGTTTCCTAGACTGGAGTGCTTCAAGTACTGATTTAGCATCTGTCAGCATTACCACATACTGTGAGCCAAGATTGGTATTTAGCAGTTTCTCTGTTGCTATCTTGATAGCTTGAGTTTCTGCATCATAGTTATAGCAGAACTTTCCGGTTGGTACGCTGGACTTATCCCTAGTACCATCTGGGAATTCTATGTACACTCCAGCACCACCATTTCTAACTGCACTTTGTGCGGACCCATCTGTATAGACTCTGACCCACTGTTCTTGTGGGTATTCTTCATTAATATAACTGAGGGTGGTCATTCTGCGTTGTACACTATCTTGTTCTTTCTTGTCAAATATGCCTTTCACATTTGTCTGGATTTGTACTGTTAGTTTGCATTTTTCTCTCTCTATGGGGTTTGTTCTGGAATACTGTTAAGTGGACAATCAATTTCTGGAAGGTCAGCAGTTTGTCTACATATTTTTTTTTGCTTGGTGTATAAAGCTGCTTCTTTTTAACCATAATAAGGCTAGGTTCTTAAATCTATTTTCCATCGGGTGATCTGGCATACGGAGGAACTTTTCAGCATGTATTTGCAACTTTGTATCTCTGCGCTCTCTCAGTGCCTGTGGTTTCCCAGCTTTCTCCATTTCTGATATGGGGGTTGATTTCATCCCTCCTGTGATGACTCTGAGCGCTTGATTTTGCACTTTGTCCAACTCCTTTAATGTGGTACTAGATGCTGAACACCATGCAGTTGACCCATATTCCAAGTGTGGAAGTATGCTCTGCTTGTATACTTTATTGAGTATTTTCACATCGGCTCCCCATGTGGTTCCACTTAGTTTTCTTAGTATTGCTGTCTTCCTCCTGGCTTTGGTTCTGCCTTGTTGATATGTTTTCTCCATGTCAACCTGTCATCAAATGTGACTCCTAGGTATGTGGGCTCTTTATCATCTCTTAGGGGTATTCCGTTTATTTTGATGATGCCGGCTTTTTACTTTGGGGAGAGGGTGAAGAGTGTGGTGCTACATTTGTCTGTGTTGATGCTGACACACCATCTATTTGCCCATGACTCAAGTGCATTTGTAGCCCGCTGTAGTGTTCTTGTGGCTATTGTTGCATGTTCATTGGTGCACCACAGTACCAGGTCGTCGGCATACATTGCCATTTTGATTTCATTTGGTATCTCAGCAACCAGATCGTTGATGAATAAGAGGAAAAGTGTGGGTGACAGGACACCACCTTGAGGGATGCCTTGTCGCAGTAGAACTTTTTTACTTTTAAAACCATCTACCTGTACCCGGGCTCTTCTGTTATGTAGATATGCTTTAATCCAATTGTACATTTTTCCATTTATTTTATAGTTTCTCAATTTCTTCAAAAACCCCTCCTTCCAAACCTTATCAAAAGCTTTCCTTAAAACTATCCATGCCGCGAGTACCAATTGGGAGGAGTAATTTATATGAGTGTATTTTACAAATAAAGGAAAGAATTTCGCTTTCTTCTTCTTCTTTTTCTTTTTCCTCTTCTTCTTCTTCTTCTTTTTCTTCTTCTTCGTCTTCTTCTGTTTCTTCTTTCTCTCTTCTTCTTCTTCTTCTTCTTCTTCTTCTTCTTCTTCTTCTTCTTCTTCTTCTTCTTCTTCTTCTTCTTCTTCTTCTTCTTCTTCTTCTTCTTCTTCTTCTTCTTCTTCTTCTTCTTCTTCTTCTTCTTCTTCTTCTTCTTCTTCTTCTTCTTCTTCTTCTTCTTCTTCTTCTTCTTCTTCTTCTTCTTCTTCTTCTTCTTCTTCTTCTTCTTCTTCTTCTTCTTCTTCTTCTTCTTCTTCTTCTTCTTCTTCTTCTTCTTTCTCTTCTTCTTCTTCTTCTTCTTCTTCTTCTTCTTCTTCTTCTTCTTCTTCTTCTTCTTCTTCTTCTTCTTCTTCTTCTTCTTCTTCTTCTTCTTCTTCTTCTTCTTCTTCTTCTTCTTCTTCTTCTTCTTCTTCTTCTTCTTCTTCTTCTTCTTCTTCTTCTTCTTCTTCTTCTCTTCTTCTCTTCTTCTCTTCTTCTTCTTCTTCTTCTTCTTCTTCTTCTTCTTCTCTTCTTCTTCTTCTTCTTCTTCTTCTTCTTCTTCTTCTTCTTCTTCTTCTTCTTCTTCTTCTTCTTCTTCTTCTTCTTCTTCTTCTCTTTCTGTCTTGCTACATATTACTCTGTTTAATATCGCTTGCTACGTATTAGTCTGTGTAACATATGTTGTTGTGTATTAGTCAGCGTAACATCTGTTGTTGTGTATTAGTCAGCGTAACATCTGTTGCTACGTATTAGTCAGTTGAATCTATTGCTTCATATTAGTCTATGTGACATATCTTCTTCTTTTGTCAAAATCTGCTTGTGCCGCTAGGCGTCGCAGTCTATCAGATGATTGGCAACCGAGCCAGGGCGCGCTCAGTCGCTTCATATGCCGTGATGTTATGAAGTCTCAAGTTGTCAGTGACTCCTTCAATCCATCTTCTTCTTGGTCTTCCCCTGCCTCTTGGTGTTTCGATTTTCATGTTGTATGCTCTTGATGCTGGCATCGTTGGTTGCATTCTCATTAGGTGACCAAACCATTTCATTCTTTGCTTCTCAATAAATTTAACGATGGGTATGGTTATGTGACATATGTTGTCACGTATTAGTCTGTTGAACGTCTGTTGTCACGTGTTACATGTGTTGATATGTATTAGTCTGCTGAATATCTGTTGTCACGTGTTACATATGTTGTCATGTATTAGTCTGTTGAACATCTGTTGTCACGTGTTACATATGTTGCCATGTTTTAGTCTGCTGAACATCTGTTGTCATGTGTTACATGTGTTGTCATGTATTAGGCTGTTGAACATCTGTTGTCACGTGTTACATGTGTTGTCACGTATTAGTCTGTTGAACATCTGTTGTCACGTGTTACATATGTTGTCACGTATTAGTCTGCTGAACATCTGTTGTCACGTGTTACATATGTTGTCATGTATTAGTCTGCTGAACATCTGTTGTCACGTGTTACATATGTTGTCACGTATTAGTCTGCTGAACATCTGTTGTCACGTGTTACATATGTTGATATGTATTAGTCTGCTGAACATCTGTTGTCAGGTGTTACATATGTTGTCATGTTTTAGTCTGCTGAACATCTGTTGTCACGTGTTACATATGTTGTCATGTTTTAGTCTGCTGAACATCTGTTGTCACGTGTTACATGTGTTGTCACGTATTAGTCTGCTGAATATCTGTTGTCACGTGTTACATATGTTGTCATGTTTTAGTCTGCTGAACATCTGTTGTCACGTGTTACATGTGTTGTCACGTATTAGTCTGCTGAATATCTGTTGTCACGTGTTACATATGTTGTCACGTATTAGTCTGTTGAACATCTGTTGTCACGTATTACATGTGTTGTCACGTATTAGTCTGCTGAACATCTGTTGTCATGTGTTACATATGTTGTCATGTATTAGGCTGTTGAACATCTGTTGGCACGTGTTACATATGTTGATATGTATTAGTCTGTTGAACATCTGTTGTCACGTGTTACATATGTTGTCATGTATTAGTCAGTGTTACATATGTTGTCACGTATTAGTCAGTGTTACATATGTTGTCACGTATTAGTCTGTTGAACATCTGTTGTCTAAGGATGGTGATAATATTAAAGGAATCAACGCAATGCGTTTATCTGCTACCAAATTGTTTACGACTGAATCAAACCAGGGGTGTTGGAATTATGAAACTGCCTTTTTAAACCCTAAGCCACAACCAATATTATTGTGAGGGAGAAAAAAAAAGGGGAGGGGGGGGGGAGGGCGGCGGTGACAACAATGTTGTTATTTTAAGTTACGGTAATCAATACATTGATTTCGATATTTCAACAGGATTTAATGAGAGCTTAAAATTGATGTCGGAAGGAGGCGACTACAACAAGGCACGTTGCTAACAAATGCAGCCACATCATGAACTTGTGCACGGTCTACAACCTGACTGTTCTCTCTTTCGTCCTGGGAGCCGTGTCTGTGGGCCTGTTTGCCCTCGCCGTGTCCACCGACTCTTGGCTCCTCACTCGGGAGTCGTTGTCCTCTCCCAAAGAGGCTAGAACAAATGTCACGGCCAAGGTCATGTGGATTCGAGTCTGGACCGGATTGTGGAGGCTGTGTATGGTGCATGAGGAAGGTATGTCACGTGGTTAAGTAGGTTTCGCTGTTTCAAATATATGCATAGTTTTATTATATCTTTCCATCCCCAACTCCACCTCTCTTTTCCTTCTACTTTTCATCCGTTTCTACCCGCTAAAGATGTGTGCTTCAACAATACCATGATTGTCTTCAAGTTTGGTACAGATGTGTACTGAGCTTTGTACATTCCCTTGTGGGTTAGGGGGCCATGGGGTGCGGCAGGGTGTGGGGTTGAATAGATTTACTGCCAATTATCAAACATGTAGTAAATGTTAACTACTAATTAGGGCTGTTTCCTACGAAGACTGAGTGCGTTTGCCTGAGAAGCTGGAACTAACAGTCTGCATACAAATTATGACACTATCCTCTCTCTCCCCAATTAATTCAGGTGTGCCTTAACGGAATCAAGTGATAATGTACCCTTAGTACGTCTATTGTGTTTACATTTAACAACACGGACAGTGATCCAACAAGTCTTATGGCGCTCTTCTTCTTCTCTTCCACCTTTTACCTCAATGAAGTGTCGAGGGGGGGGGGGGGGGTGATATTTAAAGTTAGTTTATGAGTTTCGTCAAGAACACTATTAGGATTGAGATTCATTTCTGTAAAGCTGTTCTTTAGGCCATCATATGTCTTATGAAGTTACGATTGTTTATCATTAAAAACATAATGTTAGTTCATCATATAGAACGATAATTAAAACAAAGGTAACGACCATTTCAGTATACGTTGCTGTAACGTAGTTTCACACTTTTAAGAGGTTATTGGCTTACGAAACTTATACTGTGTTCTCTGTTTTAAGTACATCTTAGTTACTACTAAAGAATCTTATATTTGCTTTCTGTTTCGTTAAACTCCTCCGCCATACAGTAGACCGGCTGTACTGACAAACTACAGTTCTTATTCTCGACCTCTCAGAGAAAACCGCCTAGCTCTCACTGGTCCTCTGTCCCTGTCCTTGAGCTTCTCCTCCCCTCTTCTTCCTGTTTTCTCATTATATCTTTCTTTTAAAAAGTATGCCATCCGTCAACCTGTTCATTCTCATATTCTTAGATTCTCTGGTCAGTTGGGGTCGTTTCATCTAACGGAAAGATTAGTGTCCTGCTCCTGTCTGTATCTCCTGTTCTAATCTATAATTCTAGAGCTCCAGCTGCCATGACACTCAAGAATAAATTGGCGTTTCTTCTACGTATCAGTGACCACTGGCAAGATTTTCAACTCTTAATTGCTCCCACCGACAAATGTGACTAACTCCGAGCGATCTGTGTTATCATAATTAATCGCAAAAGAGATCCTGGTTTTTTCTCAGTGCTTCTCCTCCCAGTGCTGCTTCGCCTCTCACTGCATCAGTATTTAGTGTCAGATACTGTGTTGTAATCTATCGTTGTTGGCCTTCAACTTCCCTACAAAATGAACCAGATCTTTAAAGAGGGTGTCTCCGCAGTGCGCAAGATCTGGAACAAGGCCAAAGCCCAGAAGTGGAAGAACAACTAGAACTTTCTGCCGGGTTACTGCCGCTGAACACCAAGAATGAGAAGAATGCGAATGGGAACCACGAGCTGGAAGAGGAGCTTTTTGCCATTATGTCATGTGTTCCCATGAAACATGATACTTAGATACTTTATTGGTTTATCTGTAAAAAGTTCGTTACACAAACATGTATATCTATCTGTGAACAAATTGTCACATAAACATGATTGTCCATCTATAAACAAATAGTACCATAAACATGTATATCTATCTGTAAACAAATTGTCGCATAAACATGTTTGTCAATCTGTAAACAAATAGTAACACAGCCGTGCATGTCTATCTGTAAACAAATTGTCACCTAAAAATGTTCGTCTATCTGTAAACAAATAGAAACATAAACATGTTTGTTTATCTGTAAACATTTCGTCACATAAACATTTCTTGTCCATCTATAACTAAATAATCCCATAAACACATGTGTCTATATGCTCAGCGCCGGACTTCATCAACTGTATGGCCATTAGTTACGAAGAAATGGGCACAGGTCGAGGAGAGACGTTCAGCACTACATCGTTTGCTATTATTGGTAGGTATTCTTCTTCTTCTACGTTCGCCCTTATAAGTTGTGGTTTATAGCTAAGGTGCGATATCAGCCCCTTCCGGACCAGCTCATCTAATATCAGAAAACTTTTAATTAGTCATCTTTTACGACACGTTTGTTAGGGGGCAATGCGCCCCTCCCGCTACCCCAAATGGGGCACCTTAAGCCATACGGAGACAACAACTTTCAATGGAGAGAGGAAGAGGGGGAGAGAGAGAGAGTAATGCTCAACCTATATTCTTGGTTGCTAAATTAATATCTTCATACATCTGTAAGCTGCGAATAGAACTAATTACCCACGTCAGAAGAAGGCAATCTACACTCTCTGGTCATGTCATAAGAAGGAGAAAATTGGAGAACATCATGACTGTAGCAAATTTTGGGAGGGGGGGGGGAGGCAGAGGGAGGCCTAGAGAGAAGATGCTGGACTGTTTTGACATCATGGCATAGGGGATCATCTGTGTCAGAGTTGACTGAAAGTACACGAGACAGAAGGCTGGGGATAGCCATGACTACCAACACCACAGGGCATAGGGGATCATCTGTATCAGAGTTGACTGAAAGTACACGAGACAGAAGGCTGGGGATAGCCGTGACTACCAACACCACAGGGAATAGGGGATCATCTGTGTCAGAGTTGACTGAAAGTACACGAGACAGAAGGTTGTGGATAGCCGTGACTACCAACACCACACGGCATAGGGGATCATCTGTGTCAGAGTTGACTGAAAGTACACGAGACAGAAGGCTGTGGATAGCCATGACTACCAACACCACAGGGCATAGGGGATCATCTGTGTCAGAGTTGACTGAAAGTACACGAGACAGAAGGTTGTGGATAGCCGTGACTACCAACACCACAGGGCATAGGGGATCATCTGTGTCAGAGTTGATTGAAAGTACACGAGACAGAAGGCTGGGGATAGCCGTGACTACCAACACCACAGGGCATAGGGGATCATCTGTGTCAGAGTTGACTGAAAGTACACGAGACAGAAGGCTGTGGATAGCCGTGACTACCAACACCACAGGGCATAGGGGATCATCTGTGTCAGAGTTGACTGAAAGTACACGAGACAGAAGGCTGTGGATAGCCGTGACTACCAACACCACAGGGCATAGGGGATCATCTGTGTCAGAGTTGACTGAAAGTACACGAGACAGAAGGCTGGGGATAGCCATGACTACCAACACCACAGGGCATAGGGGATCATCTGTGTCAGAGTTGACTGGAAGTACACGAGACAGAAGGCTGGGGATAGCCATGACTACCAACACCACAGGGCATAGGGAATCATCTGTGTCAGAGTTGACTGAAAGTACACGAGACAGAAGGCTGGGGATAGCCATGACTACCAACACCACAGGGCATAGGGGATCATCTGTGTCAGAGTTGACTGAAAGTACACGAGACAGAAGGCTGGGGATAGCCATGACTACCAACACCACATGGCATAGGCTTTAAGTAGAAGAAGATTCCAGGTATCCGGGACATATGTCTGTCGATGGCTGACGTAGGCCCAGGTTTCTTGAAATAGGCCGCTTGGTTAGGCTCAGATCTCTTGAAGTAGGCCATTAGGTAGGACAGTTTTCTTGAGGATATCTCATTGTATTTGAGGATCATGACATTGTTAAAATCAGTCACTAACCCAGTAGATTCAAAGTGTTTTATAATCGCCAGTGACAACACGACGAGCAGTGACCTTACCAGTTTCATCCCTGATCCTGGCCGTTACAGGAGTCATCTTCAGTGTGGTTGGAAACATTAAGAAAGACGTCAAGTCCTTAGTCGGCGGTGTCCTTTTTATCTTATCAGGTAAACCTTCATGTTTTATGTATGCATGCATGTATGTATGTATGTATGTATGTATGTATGTATGTATGTATGTATGTATGTATGTATGTATGTATGTATGTATGTATGTATGTATGTATGTGTGTGTGTATGTATGTATGTATGTATGTATGTATGTATGTATGTATGTATGTATGTATGTATGTATGTATGTATGTATGTATGTATGTATGTATGTATGTATGTATGTATGTATGTATGTATGTATGTATGTATGTATGTATGTATGTATGTATGTATGTATGTATGTATGTATGTATGTATGTATGTGTGTGTGTGTGTATGTATGTATGTATGTATGTATGTATGTATGTATATGTATGTATGTATGTATGTATGTATGTATGTATGTATGTATGTATGTATGTATGTATGTATGTATGTATGTATGTATGTATGCATGCATGCATGCCACATCCCACATCCGGAAGTCAAAGTTTTCAAATAATTGCAGACTGCTTCATGAGAGTTGTTTAGTTACAGATATTCAGTCACAGAGGAAAGACTTATAGAACACGCGCGCACACATATGCACGCACATACACACGCACATACACACGCACATACACACGCACATACACATGCACATACACACGCACATACACATGCACATAAACATGCACACATGCACAGACCCACGCGCGCCATGTACTCAAACATACACGCACACATACACAGGCACACACACACATATATGAGCCCTCAGCCCTTTTACTAATGTTCGTGGATTAGGGGTTTCAGTGGACTAATCCTTGTTGAAATACTCAATACTAATAATTTGACGAATCGTAAAAGATATTACAAAATTTTTTTCGAAATAATATGAGGTGTATGAACGAAAACTCAAACAATAGAAGAAATTCGACACTTTTTTAAGTTTTTGCATTTAATAAAAAAAAAATGGGAGGGGGGAGGGGCTCAAGATACCACACCCCCAGACTAACACGTACGCGCGCACACACACACACACACACACACCCACACTCATTTATTTTATAAAGTGTTGTTTGCTTGTCTCTTTAATCACACGGGGATTTCTCCTTCTTTTCTCCACTCCTGGAATGCCTCACAGCATTCTTCTTTTTCTTCTTCTCCTTATAATAATAATAATAATAATAATAATAATAATAATAATAATAATAATAATAATAATTATTATTATTATTATTATTATTATTCCACTTCTTCTTTTCTGGGACGGGTCTTTCTGTTTTCTTCGTAAACAGTACACACGGGGACAGTCGACGATAAGTCTTAACGACACGAAGACACCGAACGGTCGATTTTAGTCAGCCTTTATTACCATGTACCTGTCTCTGGGATCGAGTCTTGGACGGGGAAACCAACAATTAACACTCTTATTTACCACGTCTGGCCAATGTCATGACATTGGTTGGCATTCTTTTTTGTGTGTCTTTTTTTTTTGGGGGTGGGGGGGGGGGGGGGAGGGGGATAACAAGCAGACCTCGGTAATGCGTCAGTTCTAGCTGGGGAGTGTGGATGTCGTTAATGTGTCAGTTCTAGCTGGGGAGTGTGGATGTCGTTAATGCGTCAGTTCTAGCTGGGGAGTGTAGATGTCGTTAATGCGTCAATTCTAGCTGGGGAGTGTGGATGTCGTTAATGCGTCAATTCTAGCTGAGGAGTGTGGATATCGTTAATGCGTCAGTTCTAGCTGGGGAGTGATGATGTCGTTAATGCGTCAGTTCTAGCTGGGGAGTGTGGATGTGTGATTATATTGTGAGCAAAGGACCCTTAACCCCGCCATCATGCGTATTTGGGCATATAGTACTACACGCATACTTTAAAGACCAATCCGCCTGGTGCTGTGGTCAGCATCATGCCGACCGTCTTTACTTCAGAGTAATATGCATGTGACTCATTTGGCCTGGTCGACCTTTTTTGGAGAAAAAAAAAAACCTGCTGCGTCAGGACTCGAACATCTAGTGAACATCTAGCCGCTACGCCACGACAGTTCTCACACTGCAGTAAAGTAAGTAAAATAAACGAGCCTTGTCAGTGTCATTGGTGCATCAGACATGATTCTAGACTCATAATTTCATAGCTTATCAGCCCTGGATGGGTGGTTGTGGTCAGCATCACACTGACAGCTTTTACTTTCCAGAATTTAATCGGTACCAAGTTAGGCTTAGCAGACCTAGGAGCCAAAGTCCGTTTAAATAAAAAAACTCGAATTTGGCGAGGACTTGAACCCAAAACATTCGGGTGGACAGGTGAGCACCCAGCAAGAACATTGCCACCGCTTCCCATAAGTATGATGAACGAATGAATGAATTTCTACCCCACCAGGACATCACACAAGCGATAAACACCCGATGACACAAAGTGCCACCATGTGGATGAGGATCGCCGTGGAGAGGTCCCAGAAACCGCGTTCAGACAATTGGCCATATTTATGGCCTGCCTTTATTGCGGCCCCTGGCAAAAGCCAGAGTGGGGCTTTAAATAACAAAAAATTACGTCCTAAAAAGGGTGTATGAGTATTTTATCCTGATAAGTATGATGATGATGATGATGATGATGATGACAATAATAATAATAATAATAACAATTATAATGATTATTAAATAATAGGAAGCAGAAGAAGGAGGAGAAGAAGAAGGAGGAGAAGAAGAAGAAGAAGAAGAAGAAGAAGAAGAAGAAGAAGAAGAAGAAGAAGAAGAAGAAGAAGAAGAAGAAGAAGAAGAAGAAGACATCTGTATCATGCAAGCCTACCGATCATCAGCAGGGTCGTCTCCCTTTCAACAACTGTTTCTAGCGGTTATCCTCCCAGACAAGTGCTATTCAACTAATTGTACAAAAATGGTGAAACTATGGGTGTGACTGCAGTCAAGCTAATACAATGAATTCCAGAGAAATTTGACTAAAAAGCTCAACAAAATGGGAAAGAGGAAAACGTGCACAAAACAACACAACGTAACGTTTCGGCCAGGCAGCCTTTTTCAAACACAAGTGAAATACACAAACGAGGAATGGAGAGTATGTAGATCTCTAAGGGGTGACGTGAGCGACGTTTAAAAAATGTGATGCGGAATAAATGAAATAAAATAAAATAAACGATGGATAAAAAATATAGTCACAATACTGGGAATAAAAGAAATGCAAGTGTTAATGATACATAAATGATATTGATAAGAAATAGAATATGGTAATAATATGAAATAAAATAAAATAATTAACATTTAAAATGTGATAAGATTAGAACTATTTAGATGAAGGTATGTTGGATATTGATACCTCTTGGACTAAGAACGCCAAGGCTGTGGATAAGGCGGTTTTACCAAAGCGAGGAGGGGGTAGTATGATCGCCAGAGCAAGATTTTAATGCTGTGACAGATATGTCATCTTTACCGCTGTGGTCAGGGCTATTAAAATGAAGAGGGATTGGTTTGAGTGTCTTCTTGTCGATATCAGAGAGGTGTTCCCGGAAACGATCAGCTAGCTTCCTGCCAGTCTCCCCAATGTATGCCTTGCTGCATCGTTTGCAGATAATTGCATAAATTACGTTGCGGGATTCGCAAGTAAAAGGTTCCCTAATTTGAAAAGAACCATTAGGGAAACTGACCGAAGACGTCTGGACAACGAAAGGACATGTTTTGCAGGTGCTGCGTGAGCACTGAGTGGTCCCAAGAGGAAGTGCTGTATGGATCGGTGGGAGTCGGCTTCGGACAAGTATGTCTTTAAGGTTGCGATCTCGTCTGTAAACTAATCTAGGTTTCTCACTAAAGATAATCTTGGTGTCCGGATCAGAGCGGAGGATGTCCAAATGACGAAAGAATACTTTGGAAGCAACCACATTGTTAGGGTGAAAAGTCAAGATCAATTTAGGTCCATCATTGGTGGAGTTACGTTTGGTAGGAAAAGCATCTCTCCTAGTGGTTGCTAAAACTTTGTTTAGAGCCCCTTGTAGAATGTGTTCCGGATAGAAACGGGCACGGAAGAATTCCGTTTTCCTCTTTCCCATTTTGTTGAGCTTTTTAGTCAAATTTCTCTGGAATTCAACTAATTGTACGCAGGGCGTATATATCGTCTCTGAGGTAGTGAACTATACTCCTAACTGCACGACCAGAGTTGACAAGTGGACGGTTGGTTCATAATGTGCGCGGAGTCTGATATATAGACTGAGGTCCCTACCGATTTTAAAAAACAAGTAACATGTACAGTGATGGCCTGAGTAGGAGTGAGTGAGTGAATGTGTACAATAGAGGCAAATATTTCTGTCACTTCCCACAGGTCTCTCGCTAGCAGTCGGCGTGATACTCTATATATCTGTCACTTCCCACAGGTCTCTCGCTAGCCGTCGGCATGATACTCTATATATCTGTCACTTCCCACAGGTCTCTCGCTGGCCGTCGGCCTAATACTCTATGTATCTGTCACTTCCCACAGGTCTCTCGCTAGCAGTCGGCGTGATACTCTATATATCTGTCACTTCCCACAGGTCTCTCGCTGGCCGTCGGCATGATACTCTATATATCTGTCACTTCCCACAGGTCTCTCGCTGGCCGTCGGCCTGATACTCTATGTATCTGTCACTTCCCACAGGTCTCTCGCTGGCAGTCAGCATGATACTCTATATATCTGTCACTTCCCACAGGTCTCTCGCTGGCCGTCGGCCTGATACTCTATGTATCTGTCACTTCCCACAGGTCTCTCGCTGGCCGTCGGCCTGATACTCTATGTATCTGTCACTTCCCACAGGTCTCTCGCTGGCCGTCGGCATGATACTCTATATATCTGTCACTTCCCACAGGTCTCTCGCTGGCCTTCGGCCTGATACTCTATGTATCTGTCACTTCCCACAGGTCTCTCGCTGGCCGTCGGCATGATACTCTATGTATCTGTCACTTCCCACAGGTCTCTCGCTGGCCGTCGGCATGATACTCTATATATCTGTCACTTCCCACAGGTCTCTCGCTGGCCGTCGGCCTGATACTCTATGTATCTGTCACTTCCCACAGGTCTCTCGCTGGCAATCAGCATGATACTCTATATATCTGTCAATTCCCACAGGTCTCTCGCTGGCAGTCAGCATGATACTCTATATATCTGTCACTTCCCACAGGTCTCTCGCTGGCCGTCGGCATGATACTCTATATATCTGTCACTTCCCACAGGTCTCTCGCTAGCAGTCGTCCTGATACTCTATATATCTGTCACTTCCCACAGGTCTCTCGCTGGCCGTCGGCATGATACTCTATATATCTGTCACTTCCAACAGGTCTCTCGCTGGCCGTCGGCATGATACTCTATATATCTGCCATCAACGACGAGGTTGGATACCGGGTCTCCACCAGCGTGAGTAGTTTGTAGATGTAAATTCAATACTTTCAAAATGATAGTTCTTTCAAAAAGAAGAAAAAGAAGAAGAAGAAGAAAAAGAAGAAGAAAAAGAAAAAGAAGAAGAAGAAGAAGAAGAAGAAGAAGAAGAAGAAGAAGAAGAAGAAGAAGAAGAAGAAGAAGAAGAAGAAGAAGAAGAAGAAGAAGAAGAAGAAGAAGAAGAAAAAGAAGAAGAAGAAGAAGAGAAAGAAGAAGAAGAAGAGAAGATAAAGAATCAGGAGGAGTAGGAGAGTGCGTTGCAAGTGCTTGGTGTTTTCTTCAGTAAATCATGTTTACATCCAGTTGTTTTTACTTGTCTTAAAAATCTTTTTATCACACTCCTCCTCTGTCCATCCGTATTCCCTTTTGTCTTCGCCTTCACATACACAACCAAACACAACTACACGCTTTTTCTAAGCCTCTTATGCAACCTAACATCTAATGTTCTAAACAATAATCTATAATAAGGTTAAAAGTTATGTAGCTTCGTCCATAATATCACATTACGTCAAATACATTTACACATAATACACCTAACATTATATACGTTTACCCATAATATTACTTAACATGATATACTTTTACCAATAATATCACATAACGTTATGTACCTTCACCCATAATATCCCCTACGGTTATATATCTTTACCCATTATATCACCTAACATTAAATACACCTTTACCCATTATATCACCTAACATTAAATACACCTTTACCCATAATATCACCTAACATTAAATACACCTTGACCCATAATATCACCTAACATTAAATACACCTTTACCCATAATATCACCTAACATGATATACCTTTACCCATTATATCACCTAACATGATATACCTTTACCCATTATATCACCTTACATTATTTACCTTTACCCATTGTATCACCTTACATTATATACCTTTACCCATTGTATCACATAACATTATATACCTTTACCCATTGTATCACAAAACATTATATACCTTTACCCATTGTATCACATAACATTATGTACCTTTACCCGTTGCATCACATAACATTATATACCTTTACCCATTGCATCACATAACATTATATACCTTTACCCATTATATCACCTTACATTATATACCTTTACCCATTGTATCACCTTACATTATATAACTTTACCCATTGCATCACATAACATTATATACCTTTACCCATTGCATCACATAACATTATATACCTTTACCCATTATATCACCTTACATTATATACCTTTACCCATTGTATCACCTTACATTATATACCTTTACCCATTGTATCACTTAACATTATATACCTTTACCCATAATTTTGTTTGTTTGCGATCACCGGCTGTAAACTCCAGCGGAAAGTCCTGGCTGTTAGTCCATTTTGAGACTTTAGGTTTGTTCCAAGAGTTTTGCGTGTGCATCCATTTTACAGATCTGACTTATTTGTATGCATACTGTGTGTTCCTTGCTCTTCGACTTCGAAAGAAACATTGCAAATTCGTCGCCTCCTACGATATGCTTGTTAGGGGGCAGAAAGTATGTTATTTTTCTCCACAAAATGGTGCCGAGGAACCCATACCAGGACTTTACCCATAATAATATTTCACATTCTATACCTTCGTCAGAAACGGGCTTTACCCATAATTCTTCTTCTTCTTCTTCTTCTTCTTCTGCGTTCGACATCAGTCATGCTAAACATTGAGTCCTGACTGGGTCACAAATAGGATTGTGCGGTTAAGGTCGCCACCGGTCCCCCATAGCTTTTCTCGCAATGTGGATCCCCTGGGCCAGATCCACAGTCTTTGCTGGGAGAGGTTAGGGCAGTACTGTAGTATGTGCTCAGGGGTCTGTCTTTCTGGTCCAGTCTCAGGCAGCAGATTCTTTTATGCCCATCCTGTACAGGTGTACTCGAAGACCACAGTGTCCAGTCCGAAGTCTAAAAATTGATGTTTGTTCTTTCTTATTGAGTTTGTTTATGCTGTCACTCTCTGGTCTGTAATCTCCATTCTGCCTTCTCCACACCCGCTTGAAAGACTGCTTTAGCGCTGTTTTGGTTTCCTTGTAGCTGTGTGGTGGATGAGGTTGTGGAAGATTACTCCCAGCTTTTGCCAACTCATCTGCTCTCTCATTTCCTTGAATACCACAGTGGGCTGGTATCCACTGCAAGACCAGTTCTGCTTGCTTAGAGAGTAAGCCAGTGTTGGTCCGTAGATCTGCAATTAGTTTTGTCTTTTTTTTTTCTTTTTTTTTTTGTTGTTGCTTGATAGTGCTTGAAGAACAAACAATGAGTCACTAAGTATAACAATTTTGTGCCGTCTGTGTTCTTGAGTGATGAGATGTTGGACTGCAGAAAGGAGGGCAGTTGCCTCAGCTCTGAAGTTAGTGCACATGTCACCTGCTGGTAGAGAGAGAGTTTCTACTCTTCTGCTAGGGGGTTTAATGTATATTCCACAACCTCCCTATTCTGACTGCATCTGTAGCAGAGCCGTCGGTGAAAACATGAGTCCAAGTGGTGTTTGGATACTTCTCATCAAGCATAGCAAGAGCAGGGTTTTCTGTTGTGTCTCCGTCATCTTTTGAAGTGATTCCCTGGTACCTTTAGGACTACATTTGAAGTCTCTGGCTTGCTTGTCCATGGTTCTGGCCTAAGTTTTTCGCACAGTGCTACATCTCTTTCAAGCAGATCTTGGCGCTGTCTATACAGTTCTCTAGCAAGCAGGTTGGGGCTCTGACGCTTCAGTCTGTTTTTTTTTTTATTCTCTCTTAAAATTTAAAATGCAGTTGGTGAATTTTAAGTCTTTTTAATTTCTCATACTGTAAAAGAGTTTTGTATTGTCTTCTGAATTCGAGTGGTTCAGTATATGCTATCTTCTCTATCTCTCTGTTGGGGGTGGTTTTCATGGCTCCGAGAACAATCCTTAATCCCATATTCTGAACCTTGTCCAATTTTCCCACTGTTGTCTTGGCTGCTGCAGGCCATGCAGTGGAGGCATATTCCATGACTGGCCTGACTGCTCCAGTATATACTTGTTTTAGGATTCTGGAGTTGGCGCCCCATGTGGTACCAGCTAATTTTTTCATCACTGCAAGCTTCTTGAATGCTTTTCCCTGTACTGCTTCTACATGTGACTTCCAAGTTAGTCGCGAATCAAGTGTCACGCCAAGAAAGGTAGGAGTGTCAGTCTGTGGAATGAGCTGGGTTTTTTAATCCAAATTTCGATTTTTTTCTTTATTGTGGGAGAGAGAGAAAGGCGATGCTGTGCTTTTTGAATTATTTAGCTTTAGACCCCACTTTTCGGTCCAGGCTTCTACATTTTCCACAGTTTTCTGTAACAGATATGAGGCTGTGGTAGTGTATTCGGAGGCTGTCCAAACTGCAAAGTCATCAGCATGTATTATTATTACCCATAATAATACACCATATTTTACCTTTGTTAGAAACATGCTTTCCCCATAATAAAATTAAACATTTTATACCTTTGTCAGAACCGGACTTTCCCCCATAATAATATTGAACATTCTATACCTTTGTCAGAAATGGGCTTTCCCCATAAAAGTATTGAACATTTTATACCTTTTTCAGAAACTGGCTTTCCCCAAATTAATATTGAACGTAGCATACCTTTGTTAGAACCGGGCTTTCCCCATACTAATATTTCCCATTTTATACCTTTGTCAAAACGGGCTTTCCCCATAATAATATTGAACATTCTATACCTTTGTCAGAAACGGGCTTTACTCATAATAATATTGAACATTTTATGCCTTTGTCAGAAATGGGCTTTCCCCATAATAATTTTGAACATTCTATACCTTTGTTAGAAACAAGGCGGAGGCGGGTTCAGCTACGAATACGGCTGGTCATTCTTCACGGCTGGCTTTGGCTTCCTGGCCTCAGAGATGGCGGCCGTGGTAACGGTCACACTCTACCTGAAGAGAAACTCGCGGCCCGAGGACATGGCCCGTATAATACCTGGGCTGGAGGACAAGATGACCGACGATCTGGAGTATCCATGCGAGCATGTCAGTTCTTCCAGCACAGACAGGCATCCGTTTTGTCATTCAGAAAGAGACAACGCCTGTTTTCATTTATGTAGGGATCTGCGCCCGCCTAGTGTGACTGCCTAGCAGACCAGATAACTGTTACATTTATAGTTTCAGTAATTTATCTCATGTATGCAACTGATGTATTTAAAAAGAGTCCGACCTGTGACTGGGACATATAAGTTATCTACTGTAACTGGAAATTAGAAGCTGAATCCTCTACAGTCTCCTTGTAACTGCACTAAATTCCTCAAACCACATATGCTTGGCTTACAGCATCTCAGGAATACTTGTTAAGAAAATTTAGTGTCGCAGTCACTTCAACATAATGTTGTCTCGTAAACCAAATCGGTCATCCTTCAGTGGCGAGAGGGATATACAATCTGACAGTTACTGATACTATTTGAATTTTAACTCTTCGCTTGCTGCTGAAGATGGGGACGGGGCGCTTATGTGGGTGTCCCGAATGCTTGGATGTCAATTTTTTTTTCAACATTCAACATTTTTCAGTGAAAATATTTGTTTTTTTTTACAGAGAGAAAAAAAAAAATCGCATGGAATACGTCTGGAAAATATGTAGCCATACACGAGAGTGACCCCAATAGACTGCTCTGAAAGGAAATGCGTTTTGACACCAATCGTATGTTTCGTTCTTCTGGCTATGGGTCATATGGCAGCTGCCTTGGTGTGGCGGCTAGACGCTCGCATGTGATCGGAAGGTCGTGGGTTCGGTTCCTAACTGAGCAGGACTTTTTACAAAATTGACCTTGGCTCCCAGATCGATCCAGCCTTAAGTTGGTTGCAGGTAAAATCCTGGAGGTAAAGGCGGCCGGTGTAATGGTGAACACATCATGCGCCAAGTGCTGATCGGTCTATACGATAACGGTCAAACCCTATATGCCCAGTGCGCCTGAATGAGTGGACAAATCGTTTCCTTGATGTCACAAAATGAGGACTACAGCAGTAACAGCTACCGTAGCAGCATATAGACTCATTGACACAACAGAAACACACGGGCGTCACAGTAACCACTATCATCAGGTGATTTATAACAGTGTGAAGGGAGAAAAGACTGTGTGAGTGATGGAAGGGCAGACATGAGAAGTCTCAAACCCGATCGGCTCCAGCTGACGCGGCGTGCTGCTGACGTCACCAGGTCGGGCTAACGAGGCATTCAAGCAGAGGTTCTCAAACTGGGTGCCGAGGCAGCCTGTGGTGCCTTGAGAGTGTGTCAATGAGGCCGCGGTAATAATCCAGAAAAGTCGGCTAAAAATTGTGAAATTATTAAAGAAGACATGTAGATACTTAAAAGTTTAAATGTAAGTTGTCTTCCATAGCCACTGTCGAAAGTAGTTTATTTCTTGTTTGAGAATCTCTGCGTTAACGCATCGTTAGCCCGACCTGGTGACGTCAGCAGCATGGCCCGTCAGCTGGAGCCGGTCGTGCTCAAGCCATAACTGTACGATCAGAACGACCTGTGATCGACCGTCTCTGGAAGTACTTGTGTTGCCAATTATGTGTTTATGAGCACGCTTTGCGCGTTTTCAATGAGTATTTGTGTGTCAGAGTTATTTGGTTTGTTGATTCTATGAGTAAGGCTGGTTACTACCGGGGTTCGCCGTTGTGTAACGACAAGACGCTCACCTGCGTATCGGAAGGTGGTGGAGCCGGACTTTCTTCAAAAAAGACCAAGGCTCCCAGGTTGACCCAACCTTGAATGGATACCAGTTGCAGTCCTGGGAAGTAAAGGCCGTGGGTTTGATGCTAACCACATCACCCACCATGTACGATTAGTCTATAAAATATAGGTATAACCCTATATGCCCAATATGCCTGAAAATGGTCCTTGACTTCACTCTGCTAGTAGCTACGGTTCATACTTGATTTGGCGAAATATAATGGCCTTACAACTGTTCACTATTTTTTTTTTTTTTTTTTTTACATTTCAAGTCCTTGTTTTAAATAAGATTCGCCCCTGTTATTAAAATTCTCTAAATTGTGATTATATCAGTTCATCATCATCATCGTCGTCGTCGTCGTCATCATCATCACCAATCATCATTATCTTCTTCATCATCATCATCCTAACTATTATATGTCACAAAGGGGCGTGCAATCGACTCCTCCGTTGCTTTAAGGTCAACTGATTACACACACATACACGCACAGACAGAGGTGGTACCTCGGCTATCTAACGCTTTTACTTACGAACCAGTTTTGACTCGACCCGCGAACCATGTCTCGGCGCACGAACTCACAAGCATGGTTTTGGTACTCTTTTTTTCGTTTCGCAAACAGCATCAGTTGTATGCACGTTTGCCCTCTGTGAGCATTGATTGCCGGTGCGTTGTTCTTGATACACTTTTCTCCCCATTAAATTACCCTTATTATGGCACCCTAGAACGGCCGGCGTAATGCTGACCACATTACCCACTGAGTGCCGATTGGTCTGTAAAAATATGGGTCTTCCTCCCATATGCCCGATGCGCCTAAAATGAGTGAAAATGGATCTTTACTATTTACTATGGCTCCCTAGAAAATGGAAACAGTAGTGTAAAGAAGACGGTACTATATTTTTTGCTTACCCTATGACGTCACGGGAGACAGTTAAATAATTTCAAGGATGTTGAGGCTGTTGTTGTTTTTTTCCATTACTAGAGCGCATCGCAAAAGCGCGGGCTTGGCACCTCTTATGACATGTGTTTACAGCGCGTCGGCAGTCTTCATCTTTTGCAGCAGTCTTCATCTTTGCCGCGTCTTGTTGCAGCAGTCTTCATCTTTACCGCGTCTTGTTGCAGCAGTCTTCATCTTTGATTGCTGTTCGTTCCAGCAGTCGCCGTGAATTGTCTACAGTTAGTAGTATCTGTGCGAGACAAGGAGACCAGCATTGCCTTTCTACAACAACATGGCATTCTGCACAGAACGAGACTTTGTAGAAACAACCATCAAATGGTGTTATCGCTGTTGGAAAGACACGACCGGTGGCGGTGTCGAAAGTCCACCTGTCGTCTGAACATACCACTACGGCAAGGAACATTGCTGGAAGGGTCGCGGCTCCCGTACAGACAGATCATTCTGTATATATTGTGTTGGTCTCACGAGATGACAAGCATTCAATTTTGCGAAGAAGAGTTAAGCATGTCGCTGACTGCGACTGTAGAATGGAGCAACTATTTACAGGAGGTTTATGCCAATACATTGTTATTGAATCCTGCAGTGATTAACGGATAGAACACTGCTGAAGTTGATGAAAGTTTGTTAGCAAGACGTAGAAATTATGCGGGACGTGTGTTTCTACAACAGTGGGTATTTGGCGGGGTCTGTTTTCTTTAATAACTTCATTTCACTATTTTGATGCTGTTTATGAGCTAGTTCTCCTCAATGGTCAACTAAAGTAGGTGGTCGATGTTTGGTCTATGGTATCCAAAGAATGTTTGGTAAAAATTCAGTTCAAAAGAACCGATTTGTTTCTTCAGTGATTGAATAAGAGTCCACCATTACCGACTGAGAGCCAACAACGTTACTTGCTGATATTATTCTTCAACAGTTTCACATGTAAGAGTAACACGTTATAATTAAAGATCGTGTTTCACACTACATGTATATGCCAATTTTGTATTGGTAATAACGTTACAATCGTTGTTTTTATTTACTCAAACAAGCGTTTCGACCAAACTCTTTGTTGATTAGCATGCCACTAAAAACGACAACTTTAAATGAAAAACATAAATATTTTAATTAACAGAATTCTAAGTAAACTTCACAAGATAAACTATAATAAAGTAGAAAATTTATTAAAGAATGTTTAAACCTGTGACATACATAACAAATAATCAAACAATATGGCATTAAAGTTCTCAAACTATGCTTTTACAGGTGATTTGGGAATGCATAATGGCAGCTGAGTAAACAAAATCCAGTTATGGTTTGTTTTTCAAATTTTTCGCTTTGTTTCTGTTCTCATATTCCACAGTGTAAGTTGGACAACCAATAAAGACAATGAATGAAGATTAAATGCATTCGACAAGATTCCCCCCTCCCCCCCTCCCCCTCCCCCCAAATGTCCGTTAACCGATAGTAAAATCAGTCAAATGATTAAGCACTATTTCAGACATTCAGAGACGAAATTTAAAAAAAAAAAATGATCCCACAATATGCACTGAAATGGGAAACAGATAAAGTGAGGGAAGGAGAGATAACCGCTTTGAAAAATTCTAGGGTAAACGTCGATAATAAGGGCTAAAGTTGTCTGACCAGAATTCAATCCACAATATTCAAGGATCGCACATGATAGGACAGGAGCCGCCGGGGTTTAGCAGCTAGATCGTCGCCTGCGTATCTGAAGGTCGTGGGTCAGGTCCTCATGAAGCCAGATTTGTTTAAAATCGCCTTGGTTTCCAGGTCAACCCAACCTTAAATGTGGACCAGGTAAAGGCTTGGGAATTAAAGGAGGCCGGCGTGATGTTGACCACCTCAGCCACTGTTGTTCAGTTTCACCATCACATCAATCGGTGTAGGGACTTACCATAACAAGTTAACTTCATCTCCACTAAGGGCCTCCTGGTTCTAAAGGTCTAATGTCATGCCTCAGTTTCCTCCTGTCCTCCAGTCCTTATGGTATCTTCAATAAGTTTTATGTCTGCCCATTTCTTGAAAAGCACACAGTGGCTAGGTTAGCCCTATATGCCCAATACGTCTGAAAACTTGAAAAGGGGTCCTCTTACATGGAAAAAAGGGGCGGGGGTGGGGGGGGGGGCAGGAACGGGACAGGAATCTACTGATATACTTTTATGACCTATAATAAGTACACAGGAAAGCTACTGGTGATGATAAAGAATATTTATGACGATGAGGAAAGATAGAGCTATAGCATAGTCTGAAATTGTAAAAATGTGTCCAGCGACGTAAAAGTTAAGTACTTCAGCCACATACAGAGAGATGTGAAAAGATTCTAGGATGTTCTACATAGAAAGCCAAGGATGAAAGAGAAAGAGAGCGTTACACATATGAGGGTATTTCAATATATGTGCAGGCAAAAACCTGTCTAAAGATACCATAATGACTGAAGGACGAAAGGAGATGGAGACATTACATTATAAAGCAAGGAGGCTTTTAGTGGTGATAACGTTAACATATTATAGCAAGTTTAGTATGATAAAATTAGTAGAATATTCTTTACAGGACGTTGCAGAACCAGCCAAAGCATCTTTTAGCTGTTGTGGGTTTTTTTTCTAGATAAATTGTATGCTCAGTAGTCTGCCATTGCTTTCTTGCCATTGCCAACGCAAGACAAATAGTCCGCATCTGGTATCGAACCCGGCACCCTGGCATTACGAAGCAAGTTCGCAACGCCTAAGCCACAGACGCCGACCAGCGTATAAGCACTGATATATTGGTCACATTGAACAACAGCTTTAGACGACGTACACTGATAAAAGCAATGACAGTATCACTTTCTACGAAAAAGCACAAAAACGAGATTACATTAGGTAAAGGTAAAGTCGGGAGATGTAAACCGCGTCATTGCACACGGTTATAAACCATAAGTGCTCTGCCACCAGTACGGATAGCTGATTAAAAAAAAAACTGTCCGCCTGTGTCGCCGTCCGCACGCAACTCCGTAGCTACAGCGACGTTCCTCCATTAAACCCAGAGTGTTAACCCTGGTACCCATTACCTAGAAGCTGGGTGAAACCCGGAAACCGCCTGGTTTCGAACACCGGCCGTGGGCTGCAGCGAGTCGCCACTGGGTTTGAAAGCGAGTCTCCCATCGACTTCGCTAACACGGCTCCCTATTTCCTTCCTGTTTTATTTTAACTCAGCCCCAATACAATATAGGATGCACATTTTATTTTAAAGCCCCGCCCCGGATTTTTTCGGGGGTGGGGGGGGGGGGGTGGGGGGGGGGGAATATACAACCTAACAGATGAACAGGACTTCTGGAAATTGTTCAGCGTGTGCAATGACGCTGGTTCACATATCCCGACTTTACCTTTACCTTTAGGAAGGAAATACTGTACCAAGTGAAATAGAAATGAACTGAGCTGACTTTCTGACACAAAGTACCACCATGTGGATCACCCGTGGCAAGGTCCCAGAAACCGCGTTCAGCCATAAGACCATATTTATGGCCGGGCTATATTGCGGCCCCATGGCAAGAGCCAGGGTAGGGCTTCAAAATAACGAAAAATTGCATCCCACAAGGAAATAACTAGTTAAGAATGTTACATAAATAGAAATTAGTGAAACATTTCAAATCAAGGGACATAAAGTGTTAAAAAAACGTGTTTCTTTATAAGAGTAACCAGTGAGCGCATTGTGCCTTCCTTGGTAATAAAAGAGTTAATACACATATTATATCAGTGCAACCTGCTGAGAACCTCAGTATGTCCCAACCTCCAGATGGCATGAAGAACCTCATACAAAGGGTACACCGATCAAAGTAGCGGCCCCGTCAACTTTGATACACTCCCCGGTCACAAAACGGGCAGCGTCACTGGCCAGGAAGACGATCACTTCTGCTTGTTCTTCGGCGGTGCTGGCTCGGCCATGCAAAGGATGTGCCGCTGCACAATCCTTCAGAAATTTATCCACGCCGGGGTCGTCGTCGGAGCTTCGGTAGATTCTAGTAAATACTAGGGTCGGGTTAACGGCGTTCACCCGAACACCTGGGGAAGTTATTTCAATTCATATACAGAAGAAGAACACAAAGTAGGAGGAGGAGAAAGAGTAGAAGAAGAGAATATTCAACTAGCGTGTCTTACAATATTTCACAGTCTTTTCAAATTTAAGAGCAGAAGTCTGGCCTAAAGTAAGACGATCCAGTGAGACAAACTATGGGACATCAGTAAAGACCTTACTTAATGTCAAGCTGTACGATAGATATGGCCAACAAGACACTTTTTTGGGGGGTGATTAGTTGACCATGTTCTTAGTGCACTTGTATCCATGGCGAGGCACAGACGCTGTCTGGAGGTGACAGGTTCAATTTCCGGCACGGTAACTATAGCTTTCGATTTTTATGTTGTCTAGTGTGTTCTTCTATCTTTCTACTTCTTTCTATGAGTGCCAATCAATACACTTTCTGTTACTTGATTAGTTGCTAGGTAAGGGATATAGATTTTTAAGTGGGTGGTTTGAGGGGGTGTTTGCTGGGGGGGGGGGGGGGGGGGCTTAAACATCCTGACCTACACAGTTCATGCCGGATTACTCATTACCCAGTGTTGATCAGTCATTAGCCAACGTGAATCACTCATTAGCCAACGTGAATCACTCATTAGCCAACGTGAATCACTCATTAACCAATGTGGATCACTCATTAGCCAACGTGGATCACTCATTAGCCAATGATGATCACTCATTAGCTATTGGGGATCACTCATTAGCCATTGGGGATCACTCATTAGCCATTGGGGATCACTCATTAGCCATTGGGGATCACTCATTAGCCATTGGGGATCACTCATTAGCCATTGGGGATCACTCATTAGCCAATGTAGATCACTCATTAGCCAATGTGGATCACTGTCGTGACGCGTGGTTTAAATGTTTATGTTGTTGAGTAGGGATCTTCCTTTCAACACATTCTCTCCACTAGATAAACCGAACTAAAATCTGAGCTATGTTGCTCTCAGACAAAGTCCTGGATATCCAAGAAAACAGCCATATTGGCTCGTTAAGTATATTAACATTAGCTGAACTTGGTACCCACAAGAGAAAGCAAGGAATTTTAGATGTCTATCATACTAAATGAATTATTAGACAGGGCAAGTGATTCCTCCGTCATCTACCTTCTCCCGGTGTTATTATGAATAATTAAAGAACTATTATATTCTTTGAGCCCCCACCAAATGGTATTCTATCCTAACAGTTTAATTAAACATGTAAGAACAGACATTTGGAATTTAACAAACTATGTAGTTTAAAACTTGACATACAGCTTTATTTACTACAATGAAATTCCCAATTTGTTGATTTACACAAACAGTGACTGGTTAATGAAAGTGATACGCTTCAGCGAGACAAACAGCTCGGGGTTTAGAGTGGTATGATAATGATGATAAAAGGTTAACATAAAGGGGTTAACTCAACTTATAAGCCTCTGACAGCCGTGAGGAACTGTCAAGCTTGTCCAACTCTTCCTTGCCTGTTGTCTGCCTGTTTCAGCTTATTCTCCACTTCCTCCCCACCTCGTTCTCCAGATCGTTCTCCACCTCGTTCTCCACCTCGTTCCCAGCTGGCCGAGTCTAACACAATGTAGGCTACTTCATGGACTGATCGTCACATGGGCGCTGTAATCATGGAAACAAAACACATACGTGTAGTATCTTGACTTACACTAAGAATACATGTATCAATTAATACAGCATATAATAATAAGATATAGCCCATCACTCCTCCTCATATTCCACATCCTCTCCAGTCTAGTCTGAAGGTCTTTTGTCTTACATGGGCGTCACATATCCTGCCTTCCCTCTTCATGCTACGTCATGATAGTTGACTTTCTAAGTCTGTTGTCCGTCTTCACTCAGACTTCCAATCATTGTTTTTACATCAACACGTGGGACAGGTTATGTGCTGAAACTCCAACCATTTTATATGTGCATGCTGTCCTGAATATTATCTTTCAGTGACAGTAAATACTGTAAACCCATCATTCTTTCCATGGGGTTATAAATCCCCTGTTTAGGTGAACACATTAAGTGAGCACATGGTGGGCACACAAAACGTAACAGCATCCCTGCACATATTTGGGCATCATGGAAACAATATAATTACATTTCATTATAGCAAATGTCATTGTTCACATCTTATTTTATACACATGAAAACATACACTGAAAAACATGTGACACAAACATACAAGAAATAGGAATAGTTTAGCAGTTCCCTAACGGAGATACTGAATACTCACAAAGAACTATTTCAAGCAGAATATGCAGACAAATTAGGAAAAGGTAGTATAGACTAAGCTTAACTCCCTAACCTAAGTATACAAGATTAAAATTAATATTTTCTCTTACCTGGGAACTTCCCATTAATCGCCAAAACAGAATGCGACCGTAAAATTACCTTCACGTCGATCTGTGTTTGTTTGCCGGCAGGCTGCGATTAATGACGGGAATTCCACAGGCTCGAAGTATAAGTATCAATCTATTGTCCAAATTAATCTCCTCCCTTTACTGGGTTCTGCCCAACCCTCAAGACGATGACTTAAGCCACGCCTCCGGAGTACCCAACAGATCAACTTGGCTAACAAGTGGCCTGTCAGTCAATTCTGGACTGACATCCCTAGAGCAAACATTCTTAAGTGCCCAAATCTAGTTTACACCGAATCTAACTGGCCGGTGTGAAAGACGGTCAGTGAAGCCATTGTGTTTCCTACGTGACCAAGATCAAGATGAAACATTCCTAATTGCCAAACACCTGTTCTCTCCAGAATTACACTGACGTGTTAAACTCCGACCTCCCGGCTCCACAATGTCTAGCGTCTACTCAATTCCCCTGTTCAAAAGGGCCCCGCTCAGTCTCTACAGTCTGGTCAGGAGATAACATTCTGACACTAGCGTGAGAATCCAACCTCACATCCCTAGTCTGAACCAGCGGGCTGTATTACGTAGTGTTAGGTAATTTTAAACAAAGCGCAGTGGCTTTGTCTGGGAGAAGGACTGGTAACATTTAAATCAATTTGGTTTAAAGTAATATTAGGGTAAAGGGCAGAGTAAATATAATCCTCTCTCTTTAGAACCAGAAGAACTGATTACAAGTACTAACTTCTGGTACCACTGAGATCGTCTCGTGACAATCACTCCATAGCCATTAGGGATCACTCATTAACTAACGTGGATCACTCATTAACTAACGTGGATCACTCATTTGCCAACGTGGATCACTCATTTGCCAACGTGGATCACTCATTTGCCAACGTGGATCACTCATTTGCCAATGTGGATCACTCATTTGCCAACGTGGATCACTCATTAACTAACGTGGATCACTCATTAGACAATGTGGATCACTCATTTGCCAGCGTAGATCACTCATTTGCCAACGTGGATCATTCATTTGCCAACGTGGGTAACTCATTAGACAACGTGAATCACTCATTGGCTACTGTGGATCACTCATTAGCTACTGTGGATTACTCATTAGCCAACGTGGATCACTCATTAGCTACTGTGGATCACTCATTAGCTACTGTGGATCACTCATTAACCAACGTGAATCACTCATTAACCAACGTGAATCACTCATTAGCCAATGTGGATCACTCATTAACCAACGTGAATCACTCATTAGCTACTGTGGATCACTCATTAACCAACGCGAATCACTCATTAGCTACTGTGGATCACTCATTAACCAACGTGAATCACTCATTAGCTACTGTGGATCACTCATTAACCAACGTGAATCACTCATTAGCTACTGTGGATCACTCATTAACCAACGTGAATCACTCATTAGCTACTGTGGATCACTCATTAACCAACGTGAATCACTCATTGGCCAATGTGGATCAATCATTAACCAATGTGAATCACTATATTAAGAGAGAATTACACACCCACCTTTAGAGGCCAAATCCAGTGCTAGGTTTCTGGTCATGTGGTCAAGTGCGGCCTTGGTCATACAGTAGACAATCTCAGACGGAACAGCCAGTGTGCTGCTTATAGAGGACACAGTCACGATGTTACCTTTGGATTTGATCAGTTCAGGAATGGCGATCTGGATCAGGAAAAACGTGGCCTTGACGTTCGTGTTGATTGCATTGTCGAATGATTCTTCTGTCTCATCCATTATTCTTTTCGGATCAATAGTTCCAGCGTTTGCTACTAGGACGTCAAGGCGCCCGAATCTCTCTATCGTCTGCTTGATGATTTGTTTTCGTATTTCTGCGTTGGTGACGTCCCCTGCTACAGTTAGGAATCTGTTTCAATCATTGAATCCAGGAATCAAAAAACTAATTTGGAAAACTATTGAAAACTAATAAACATTTTATTTAAACAGGTACACTTTTTAGACCGACATGATGCTGACCACATCATCCACCAAGTGCCGTTTGGTTTATAAAATTTAGGTCTAGCCCTTGAAAGGCGTGGGAAAAGGTCCTTTACATTTTCAGGACATTAACGCTCTGCACATATGGTGCTAATATAGAGCTACCACATGAATTATAGTGTCCTATTCTCAGTCGGTACTGCGGAAGATTAAAAATGGACAAATGTGGCATGAATGGATACAAAGCCCGTCAACATCACAAGGACTCCAGCGGCATGTCAGGGATATGCAGGAGTGCGAGGAAATGAAAGAGCGGATTTGTCTGGCTACAAAAGCGATAGCTACCGGAACACTTGCTGGTCAAGGGAGACAATCTGAAGACCATTCCTGAACGAATGTTGATAACGGATACAGTATTAGATTAAACATGTGTAGGAATGTATGAAAGTCGATAAAAGAATGCATCAGGCAAGGAAAGACTTATGAGAGGAAGAGAATCAGTGTGTTACATAAACAGTTATCAGCTACATCTTAGGACATTTGCTGCGCATGTCCGGTGTGCCATGTTGTCAATTGTTAAATAAGTAATCAGTAAGCATATAGTGCTTGACCAATATTTTTACTGTATAGTATAGACCAGTGTTTCCGAGCCTTTTGTGCGCCATGCCCGACCTAAACCTTTCTAGCATTCTTCTGCTCTCTCCCCCCCCCCCCCCCCCCCCCCCCCCAATAAAACTGACACTCAGAACGAGTCAATTTTTAACCCCCCCCCCTCCAACAATTAAACTGACCCCCTTAATAATCAAATTGCCCCCCCCCCCTCATGTGGTGCGTGGGCCCCACATTGGGAAACACTTGTTTTTTCTTCGGCCTTTCTAACCCCCAATGGAGCATAGGCCCTCAACCAACTGATAACAAGTCATTGTATCCTTCGCTATCGCATGCAACTCACCCCATGTCCTCCCTATCGTTTAACTTCCCTCTCTAGCTTCCTTTTCCATAAGTTTTTTTTTTTTTTTTTTAAATTTTATTTGGGTCTTCCTTTATTTCTATGCCCCTGTGGGTTCCAGTGCAAAGACATTCTAGTTATTTTGTTCTCAGGTTTTCTCAACGTATGTTCTATCCACCGCCAGCGTCTTTTGTCACCTCTTCGTCCACTGAAACTCTCTGAAAGCTCTACATTAGTGATTCTATCGTACCATTTCTCCCAGATTTACGGTATCTATCATAGAATCAAGGCCGAAGGGTTGTGCTATCCATTGTACTGAGCCAAAGGGTTAACAACTCATGGTTTCTGGATACTTAAAGAAAAAAAAATTACCTCTATCCTGTACAGGCACTAGGTAATGAATGTTTGTAGAGACAGTGACAGTGGGAGACAGTGGTAAAGACCAACAACTTGTCGATGTGTTGCGTAGCTCACAACACACCAACCGCCTTTACACCCAAGGTAAGGGCTATTAAACTGGCTGCCAGTTTTTGTTGTTTTGATGATCTTTTTGTGCTGGGGTTGAAGCCTTTGACTCGGGACGACCACCATTTTCACCATTGTCAGTTGTGTATTTTAGGGTGCTTGAACCTGGGCTTCGATGTAAGTCTATAAAAAGCCAATTCGTTGAGGATTAGAAAACAAGACTTTCAGGCATTCAGGTAAGCCCTACGCCACAATGCTATTCCAGAACATCGAGAACAGTGCTGAGATAGATCGAAATAAAGTTCGACTGCTGGTTTGAACTGTATCGAGCAGTGTTGAATTGTTTAACTTATTTTGATAGCCGAGTTTCTATCTAAACATCTGAACATCGAGAAGAATTAGCTGAAAAACCGCATCCTGGGCCGAAAGAAAAGGTATTTTGGCCACGTTTAATGTCATGGTCACGACCTTCTCTATTTATAGGCCAACTGGGTCAACGGGGATTCCCGTTCTTGTGCAAGAATTGAATCCCTCTGTGTTAACAGTTTTTATCGAGGAGATGTATACACAAATTAAACTACAGTTTCATTAATTTTCGACATATTTTATAGAACTATACGTCATTTTTAAGGGAAATATGTGTGCTATTTAAATATAACAATAACGGCTCTTAAAGACAAACACAAAATGCTTTTGCTACAGGCAACATGAACATAAAAATCAATAACGTGTAGAAATATACTGAAAGCTATTCCAGCAAAAGTAAAGAAATATCAGTGCTAACACTTTGATTCTGAGAGGGTACTGTTGCATCAGAGGAGCAGGGCGGGGGAGAAAAGGGGGAGGGGGGGGGGGGTTACATTTGTACTTTATCAAATTTAGCACATAAAAATACTGCTGTGAAACATACACAAGACTAAAGTCCAGAATTAGATGAACAACCAGAAGTTTACAGCCGTGTTCGCGAAGCAGAAAATTCACAAAAATAATAATATTATTAATGTACTACTACAAAATATAATTATACTGTTAGTCAACAATTAGTAAAGAGGCAATGAGTGACTTGATGTGAGAGGTTAGTTAGTAAATAAAATATAGTTTTTATGCACTAATCTAGAGCTCCGAAATATCTTGACACAATTTATCCACAGTGTGGTTGCACCATTTATGCACAGTTAGTATGAAAGCAATAGTTTTTCTTCCCACACAAGATAGTTTGCACCTGACAACTGTCGATATTCTCTAGATATGGCTTCTAAATTACCTGTTTGTATTTTCCCCCAAATTGAGATTTCTACATTCAAAGTAGAAAAAGAATAAACAGCCAGTTCCCCAAAGTCCAAACTACTGACTAGAAACAATGACACACACATCACAACACGACTGTCTTCCGTGAAATAAAATTAAAATTGTTGTATATCCACTTCACAATATCCGCTTGTAGATTTGTTATACGTTTAGAACACAGGACTTTGTAATCATATTAAAATGTAAAACAATGCAACATGGAAACGCTTCCAGTAACCTATTTTCGAGGGGACTCCTCCAAAATGTACCGTGATTTAGTCGGAAGGACCTATATACAGCCTGACCTGGTCATAGTGTATCGGTTGAGACAACGATAATAGAGGGACCGTTTCTGAAGAACACGCTAGAGGCAGACCTCCGCGAAAGTGGAAACGATGACATTGAAGATGCATTGACTAGGAAAATGCATACAGTTGGAGAACTGGCTAGAGGAAAAGAGGCTTTCAGGCGTGCAGTGACGAGAGCGACGTTCTGTAAAGGTCCTGCTGAGTAAAGATAAACAAGTATGATAATTGGGATTGGGTGGTAACTGCGACTTGCCGGCGGGAGGAGAAACTCTTAGCCACCCATACTGTCATAGTATGCGATTTGCAAAGCATGATTATGAATGTGGAGTCAGATTGTCTTCGTATGGAGCGAGCTGAATCAGTCCAGCGGTCTCGGTTGGTGAGATGCATATGGATATTCTACACGGGCATTCAGGTTAGTGTGGGAATGAGCAGGCAAATAGGCTGGCTGGATTGGTCCCACATAGGGGTGTTCTACAACTGCACAGGCAGAGGTGACCTCTAGCCAGCGGGACAAGGTAACAGGTGAAATGGAAGATACTGAAAACCTGTACCTGGAGAAAATGATACAGCTGGGAGTGGCTGTAGGCTCTGGGCGCCACTCGAGACTCAGGGGGAAAGGCAAGACGAGTAGTTAACCAAATGACAACGGGTACCATCCGTTTGGAAATTCTTCGCCGTCTGTTGGGGAGGAAGATGGAGCTAATATGGGCTTGTCCTGAACGATGTAATGTCGAATCTTCACCCAGATACATGAACTCGTTAGACCATTGTTTCGAACTGTTTGCTCTATCATCCCTTTGGAGGTGCTGAGGCGGTAATTTTATAGGTAATTTTGGGTGGGCGGCCAATATTTTGCTTCCGCGCTTTGTTTTTTCTCCCACAGGCCCTTGACCGCATCTAGCCTGTAATGCAGGACCTGATTTAGACCCAAAATAATATTACCAAACTTTAAAAAAAAAATTAAAATGTTGGAGCATTCTAAATATCTTCTTCCTAAAGTCCATGAAGTGTGGTGTTAGTGGTCATGTCTATCCACAAGCTTCTGTATCGTGTTGTTTCAGTCAATTCTGACACAGATGATCGTCCATGCCATGATGTCCAACTGTCCAGCCTCTTTTCTCTCAGTCTCCTCTGCCTCTCCTCCCTCCGGTTTTCCTGCTGTCACAATGTATTCACTCCAGTTTTCTCCTTATCACAAAGAATGTCACTGCCTCTTTCTGATGTGGGCAATCGGCTCTCTTCGTAAATTTTAATATATTAGAAGAAAATTGCATTTAGAAAAAATAAATTGAAATCTTTTGAGGTCTCTGTAAATTGTCAGGCCCTTAGCTGTAGCTTATTTAGCTTATATCTCTGTCCAGCATTGTCTGTCATGCATGCGTTCAGCATTCAGTGTTGCAGCATCAATCAGTCTGCCTATTCATTTCCCAACACATTTACATTACCCAGGAAAAGATCCAAAGTCGAAATTATGCTTGAAAGATAAAGTAAGAATACTCACCGTCTGGCATCACCGCCCCCAACCTTGGAACACTCCTCCACGGCCTCGTTCAGTCTGCCCACGTCCCGTCCACATAGCGTCACCTTAGCCCCTCGCTGGGCAAACATTTTTGCTGTGGCCGCCCCAATTCCGGAGCTGGCCCCAGTCACAATCACCACTTTGCCCTCGAAGTCCAGGGACATTGTCAACTTTGGAGAACTAAAACCAGAAGTGTTCACTTTAGTTTTATAATCGGAAAAAAAAAAAAAAACAGCAAGAATGATTGAATGTGCGGATAAATGTGGCCCAGTGTGTCATTAATTCTTTCCAGTATAAAAGATAATTAACATCAAACACTGAAACCGATTGGGGAGGGGGGGGGGCGAGAAAAAAAGTCTCCCCGTAAAGAAGTCTCCTCAATGCGTGCACGTCCATTCTCAGATCTAGCTTATTATTTATATGTATATCTTGGCCAAACGCAGACGCAGATTGCTAGCACAGAGATACCGTGCTCTGGATATTTTCTCCAGGTAGTGAGGGTGTTTGGTGAAACAAACATGCAGATAGATTGGCTGAGCAAACACAGACGTGGTTGACTAATTACAGACATAGCTGGTCAAACACAAACATGGTTGACCAAACACAGTCATGGCTGGTCAAACACAAACATGGTTGACCAAACACAGACATGGCTGATCAAACACAAACATGTTTGACCAAACACAGACATGGTTGACCAAACACAGACATGGCTGGTCAAACACAGCCATAGCTGGTCAAACACGGACACGGCTGATCAAACACAGACATGGCTGGTCAAACACAGACAAAGCTGATCAAACACAGACATGACTGGTCAAACACAGATATGGTTGGTCAAACACAGACATGGCTGGTCAAACACAGACATGGCTGATCAAACACATACATCGCTGGTCAAACACAGACATGGCTGATCAAAAACAGGCATGGCTAGTCAAACAGAGACATGGCTGGTCAAACACAGACATGGCTGGTCAAATACAGACATGGTTGACAAAACACAGACACGGCTGGTTAAACACAGACATGGCTGGTCAAACACAGACATAGCTGGTCAAACACAGACATGGTTGTCCAAACACAGACATGGCTGATCAAACACAGACATGATTGACAAAACACCGACATGGCTGGTCGATCACAGACATGATTGACAAAACACAGACATGGCTGGTCAAACACAGACATGATTGACAAAACACAGACATGGATGGTCAAACACCGACAGGGTTGACAAAATACAGACATGGCTGGTCAAACACAGACATGGCTGGTCGAACACAGACATGGTTGACAAAACACAGACATGGCTGCTCAAACACTGACATGGCTGGTCAAACACAGTTATGGCTGATCAAACACAGACATGGCTGCTCAAACACAGACATGGCTGGTCAAACACAGTTAGGGCTGATCAAACACAGACATGGCTGGTCAAACACAGACATGACTGGTCAAACACAGACATGGTTGATAAAACACAGACATGGTTGGTCAAACACAGACATGGCTGATCAAACACAGACATGGCTGGTCAACACAGACATAGCTGATCAAACACAGACAAGGCTGGTCAAACACAGACATGGTTGAAAAAACACAGACATAATTGACCAAACACAGACATGGCTGGTCAAACACAGACATGGCTGATAAATCCCAAACATGGCTAATCAAACACAGACATTTTTGGTCAAACACAGACATGGCTGATCAAACACAGACATGGCTGGTCAACACAAACATAGCTGATCAAACACAGACATGGCTGGTCAAATACAGACATGGTTGACCAAACACAGACATGGTTGACCAAACACAGACATGGTTGTAAATAAACATGTAGTTTTTATTTTGCTGTATGTTTGGTATATAAAAAACTTTTTTTTTTCACAGCAGCCTGTTAATAAGCATGTCGATGAAAAAAATTTTTGAATATAAATAAACATGTAGTTTTCATGTTGCCTTACTTATGGTATATGAAAAAAAAAACATACTGATTCAAAGAAAGCAATCAATATGCTGACAATTAATTGATTAACAGGAACTTTTCGAAACATGAAATTGAACGCGTTTGATTTTTAGATGGTCAACTTCACCATTTGCTTACCATGAGTCGTGAATTCTTCATTGCATGCGGGATAGGCTATTAATATCATTATCACGCATCGCTGCACATGTGAAGTGATTTTCATACAATCATGCATGTGTCAATTACAGCATATTTTGGTCCCTCTAGGGGTGTGCTATCTCTAGGTACATGAGGAACAAGGACAATTTTGCATACACGTCAGATTATGTACGGAATAGGGATCTTGGATAAACCAGCAACAACACACTGTTCAAAATGACTATGTGTAGATAATTCAAAGCAATAATACAAAACAATGTGAAGAGGAAATATATAAATGGACTTACCTCAAAAAATACAGACTACAAAACACAGAGATGCGAAAAAAGGTACAGCACTCAAGCGGGTTTTGAATGACTAGAACACACACAAGTGAACAGCGTGTTGTGCTACATACGTACTCCTGACTGCAGAACTAAGGTCTATTTTATCGTCCTGTCGTTACTGCTAGCGATTTAAACAAACGTTAGTCTAACCACAGAAAGTAAGTCATGTTCCACAGATAGCTTTCTTGGACTGGCCTTGCTTGCTGGGGGTTACGGGTGTGCATCTCTGTTGTTTGCTATCTGTGTTGTCTTGCATTTACGTTTTTATTCCGAGAAAGAGAATGCCTGTGACATAGGTTTCATCACTCTCTAAAGGGGTTGTGTGTTAGACCCGGTTTGTCAGTGTTTTTATAGTGTTAAAGGCACTGGAATGCTCAAATATAGCTTATATACTTACCTACCACCCTAACAACATCAGCGCGAAAAAAAAAAAAAAAAATTCCCTCGGCCTCTCTCCATTCTTAAAGCCGACAATGCCACCAGCTCGATTTTCTCTGAACCTCTTCTAATGGCCTACAGGCATGACCGTAACCTCAAGGACATTCTGGTCAAGAGTCGTTACATCCTGCGTCTAAGTCCCACTTCGGCACGGTCTCTTGCCACAGACCTGCATGCAGGACATGTCCATGTGTGGTCCAGGGGACTTGTCTAGAATTCACGGACGCCACCTTCCACATACGTGAAGCATTCTATTGTACCAGCCACAATGTCATTTATGCCATCAACTGCAAGAGATGTGACACGAAATACATTGGTGAACGGGGTCTACGGCTGGCTGACAGGTTCAGGCAACATCTTTTGGATGTACCAAAATGGTGCTCTGAAACCAGTACCGTTGCACTTCAATTCCCGGGATCACCAATGTGTCCACGACATGGAGGTGACAGCCAATAAATCTAGCCACTCCAGCGACAGAGTCCGCTGCGAAGCTTGCTAATATACTTTTTGTTCGGTTTATATCTTTTTCAAATATAGAAGACGCGATATCAACCGCAATGGGGAACACCCCCGTCACCTTGTGCGAAGGTCGGTTGGCTCTAGGTCGACAAATCAGTAGTGAGGTAGTGTGTAGCACTGTTAAAATGGGGGGGGGGGGGGGAAACTATCTTTACTTCTACCCTGCCAGCGATAATATTTGTATCCTTTATCTCGAGAGATCTGTGGTAGTACAGACGATTGCTTGAGGGAGCCATGGGTTTCAAGATCCCCGACAAGTATGTTGACTAAATGGAAGCTTCATTCAAAGTCGGAGTGCATCTACCTGAGAGGCAAGAGGCCGACAGCCTGAAAACAAATAAATCAGTACTGTAAAACGGATGTGCATGCAACAATCGGCTTCTAGAACAAGACTAAAGTCCAGAGTGGACAAGCCACAAGAACTTTCCAACAGAGTTTACAGCTGGTGAACGCGAAGAAACAGAAGACATTTCTTAAAACTTTAGTTTGCTTAGCCCACGGGAATGTAATGGGGAAACAGAGCTGAAGCCTGTGTAAATGTCTCTACAGCCGATTTTTCTCAGTCCTCGGATAAAGAAAGTTGCAAAGCTACTGGCAGTAAAGAGTGTGATAGTCATTGATATACTGATTGGTGCTTTAATAATATCCTACCCAAGATGACGTTACAGGACAGTCCAACAATTTAGAGGGTGGTAAGACTGGGTTTCCCGGTTTTCTGAGCTTTTAACGACCCCAAAACACATGGAACTGGCCCCAACCCACCTACGTCCCACGAGAGAGTACAGCCTTGGTTCTACGACTGCATGCAGCCTATCTACCACCCTCTGAAATATTGGACTGTCCCGTGACCTGTGGATTTCCTCTGTCTGGGGTAGGATATTAATAAAGGACCGATTGATTTTACATCGTTTGTAATTCCGTCATCGATATTTCACGACAGACCATGTATGTGTTTTTATTTGTTTTTCTGCCTTTTACCCCCAATGGAGCATTGGCTCTCAGCCAACTCATGCCAAGTCATTTTATCCGTATCTCTCGCATGCAGCTCTCGCCATGTCCTCCCCATCTGTTTAACTTCCCTCTCTAGCTGCCTTCTCCATGCGTTTTGTGGTTGTTGTTGTTGTCTTCCTTTATTTATATGTCCCTGTAGGTTCCAGTGCAAAGACGTTCTAGTTATATTGTTGTCATGTTTTCTCAACGTGTGTCCTATCCAACACCAACATATTTTCTTTCCCTTTTGGTCCAATGAAACATGCTTAGTTCTCTCCCAAAGCTCTACATTAGTGATTCTATCATACAAATTATGATATGTGTATTTAATTTCACTGGAATAGTTTCAGTTTGTTGGTGTGTGCGCGCGTGTGTGCCTCAAAATAAATCACGTGTAAAGCTCTTTAAGTTCTCTTAAATTTAAGTCATTACCCCCTCCCCTCTTCCACCGACTACTGCTCTCTCCCTCTTCAAAGGATTTGAAAATCACTACCTGGCGATATTTTGTTGTTGCTGTAACTGACATTGACATCCCTGTCCATCTGGACTAAAACAGGGAGCAGGAATTGTAATAAGTAGTGAATGGGGCTAGTGTAATATTTACCACATCCTCCTTCAAGTACCAGTACAACTACTAAAATAATGTCACTGCTACCATCGGAGTAGACAGAGAGCCGTGAGCCAGAAGATTTGGTTCCACGTGGCTAGTGCTGTCGCCACAGACTGGTCAGGTTAGGATGTATAATTTCACTTGCCG